CACCATGCCCAGCTAATTTTTTGTATTTTTAGTAGAGACGGGGTTTCACCATGTTGACCAGGATGGTCTCGATCTCTTGACCTCATGATCCACCTGCCTCGGCCTCCCAAAGTGCTGGGATTACAGGCTTGAGCTACCGCGCCCGGCCCAAGAGAAATTAACATTAAAAATATACCAAAACTATTTCAATAAGTTTTTTAAGATTTAAAAACCCTATACTGAAATCCCACTTTTCACTCATAAAATTGGTAAATATCAAAAAAATTGATAATGTTCTTGGCAAAGATGCAGGAAAATAGGTTTTTGTTTTGTTTTGTTTGACACAGTCTACTGCTGAGGTTGGAGTGCAGTGGTGCGATCACAGCTCCCTGCAGCCTCAATCTCCCAAGTTCGAATAATTTTCCCACCTCATCCTCCAGAGTGGCTGGGACTATAGGCGCACACAACCACGTCCAGCTAATTCTTAAGTTTTTTTTCCTTGTCTTTTCTTTTTTTGAGACAGAATCTCACTCTGTTGCCCAGGCTGGCGTACAGTGGCATGATCCCTACTCACTGCAACCTCCACCTCCCAGGTTCAAGCAATTCTCCTGCCTCAGCCTCCCAGGTAGCTGGAATTACAGGCATTTGCCATCACGCCCAGCTAATTTTTGAATTTGTTTTTAGTAGAGACGGGGTTTCACCATGTTGACCAGGTTGGTCTTGAACTCCTGGGCTCAAGCCTTCCTCCTGCCTCAGCTTCCCAAAGTGCTGGGATCACAGGCTTGAGCCACCATGCCTGACCAGGAAAATGATTGTTTTGGTTTTTGTTTTTTTGAGGCAGGGTCAGGCTCTGTCACCCAGGCTGCAGTGTAATGATGTGATCTGGGCTCACTGCAACCTCTGCCTCCTGGGCTCAAACCATCCAACCATCTCAGCCTCCTGAGTAGCTGGGACTGTAGGCATATGCCACCATGCTCTGCTAATTTTGTTGTTGTTGTTGTTGTATATTTGTCAGACACGGGGTTTCACTGTGTTGGTCAAGCAGGTCTCAAAAACTCCTGGGCTCAATCGATCTTCCCACCTTGTCCTCCCAAAGTGCTGGAATCATAGGTGTGAGCCATTGTGCCCAGCCAAAAATAGATTTAAAGTCCATATATCCTTTAATTTAGTAATTCTTCTTCTAATAATGTATCCTAAGGATATATGAACAGCATTGCTCATAATAGCAAAAGTTTGAAAACAGCCTAATGGAGAGCTGTTTAGATAAATCATGGGAAAGTCATGCTTCCCCAGGCTCTTCCAGGCCTCAGCACTGTGTGGGAAGCTGCTGGGTAGGTTGCTCTTGGGTGCAAGGTATAGTAGGCTAAATAATGCCTCCACCAAATATGTTCATATTCTAGTCCCCAGAAGTTATAAATCTTTTTTTTTTATTATTTTTGATTAGGGACAGTATCTTCTTGCTCTATAACCCAGGCTGGTATACAGTGGCGTGATCATAGCTCACTGCAGCCTTGACCTCCTGGGCTCAAGTAATCCTCCTGCCTCAGTCACCTAAGTAGCTGGGAGTATAGGTGCACACCAACATGCCTAGCTAATTTTTTGTTTGTTTGTTTTTGAGACAGTTTCTTGCTCTGTTGCCCAGGCTGGAGTGAAGTGGCATGATCTCGGCTCACTGCAACCTCTGCCTCCTGGGTTCAAGTGATTCCCCTGCCTCAGCCCCCCGAGTAGCTGGGACTACAGGCATATGCCACCATGCGTGGATAGTTTTTGTATTTTTAATAGAGATGGGGTTTTGTCAGTTTGCCAGGCTGACCTCAAACTCCTGGCCTCAAGTGATCAACCTGCCTTGGCCTCCCAAAGTGCTGGGATTACAGGCGTGAGCTACCGTGTCCAGCCTCCAGCTAATTTTTTAAAAAGCTTTTGCAAAGACAGGGTCTCACTATGTTGCCCAGGCTGATCCCCAACTCCTGGTCTTCAAGAGATTCTCCTGTTTCGGCCTCCCAAAGTGTTGGGATTACAGGCATGAGTCACTGCAGCCAGCTGAATCTTATTTTATATGGCAAAAAGGACTTTGCAGATATTGATTAAGGCTCTTGAGATGGGGAGACTATCCTGGATAATGTGGGTGGACTCAATGTAATCATGATGGGCTGTATAAGAAGGAGGCAGTAGGAGACAAGGAGACAACTGTTCAGAGACACAGCGGAGGTTGGAGTGATGTGCCTTGAAGATAGAAGAAGGGGCCACAAGCTAAGGAATATAGGAAGCCACTAGGAGCTGAATAAGGCAAGGAAACAGATCCTCCTCTCAGAGCCTCCAAAAGGAACCAACACCTTGACTTTCTCTGTTTTTTTTTTGTTGTTGTTGTTTTGTTTTTTTGTTTTTTTAAGAGATGGGGCATGTCAGTATGTTGCCCAGGCTGGACTCCAACTCCTGGGCTCCAGTGATCCTCCTGCCTCAGCCTCCCAAGTACCTAGGACTACAGGGGTATGTTCCTATGCCCAGTTAACACCTGACTTCAATGCAGTGCAACTAATTTCTGATTTCGGAGCTCCAGAACTGTAATAATTTTTTGTTTTAAACTACAAATTTGTGGTAATTTTTTGCAACAGCAATAGGAAACTAAGGCACAGGCATTCTAGCCTTGAGAGCTCAGAGTCTCTGGCCCAGCCCAGGCTGGCACAGGGACCAGGAAGGCCTCTGAAGGGGAAATCCAGTCTCTTTTCTGGCTCTCCACACCCCCATACATTCAGTGGTATTAGAGTTTGATCTCCTTCAAGGCAAAGGAAATCTTCAGAAAAGTCACACCATAGACATGCAGGCCCCTGGGAAACAGTGGTCAGGCTCTTATAGAGATAAGCTCATGGAAAGACACACAGAGGCCTCCCTTCACATGGCACCTCTAGCAAGCGCATCTGTATCCAATGGCCCATTGCCATTTCAACCTTCTACAGAGATTTCCCCTGGCTCCTCTTCTTTCTGGCCAAGTTTAAATTTCTGAGCAGGTAGATGTGCTGGCTAGACAGTCATCTCCTCTCTGCAAGTTGAGTCACAGGAGTCCTTCCTGGCAGGAGGGGAGCACCCCCTCAGCAAGAACTTGGGATGACCAGGCAGTGACTTCCTTGTGCAGATACATTTTTCCCCTGAACAGCCTGGGTGTGTCTGATACAACTGCTAGGAGCCAGGACCAGGGAAAGCAAGTGAGCCCTTCCTCCATCCTGCCCTAGAGGCCTGTTTTGATCATGCAATCTGCTCTCCTCTCTTTCCTGTTGAGATAGAAGAGAACAGGATTCATCTACTTAATCTTTGATTAGAGAATTATTTGAAAGGTAAAACTGTGCTCACTTCAGCAGCACATACAGTAAAAAATTGAAATGATATAGAGAAGATTAGCATGACCCCTGTGCAAGGATGACATGCAAATTCGTGAAGCCTTCCATACTTAAAAAAAATAAAAATAAAGAAGAAAATAAATAAGGCGGTAGATTAATAGCAGGGAATAACTGTAGGTGTGCACCACCATGCACCTATAGTTATGTCTCTAACAGGTAGGTACGTAACTCTGATATTAGAACTAGGGAGAAAAAATGGTCTGAGAAAAACAAAAAAAAGTCCTAATTTTGGAAGAACAAGATCGGAGAAAATAATTTTTATTTACCCTGTATATTTATTTTAGTGTGATATTTCCTGTTCTGGAGTACTAACTGTGGACAACGTTATATCTGAGGCAAGAAAGTAGTGAGAACTGAGAGCCCATTCAAAGAATTGCAAAAACCACAGCAATGGACGATATTAACATATTTCACATTCTAGACCGTGTGATGGCACTGCTACCACCTATTCTCCTGCATGTATGTCTCCTGTGCCTCTATTCCATTGCAGGTCTGTACGCTGGCCATAGGCTAGGGAGTCACACGTACTCTGTCATTAGCCTTGGGGTAATCTGCTAAAGGAAGGGTAAGCGCCTGTCCAAGATGGGGTACTAGCAAATTTGGGGAGGTCACTTGCCTCTGCTTCTCAAGGGAAGTCTGTAGCTATTGTAACTTAGCTAATGCTTATCACAATCAGCCATCTTCTGGAAGGAGACTGAAAATAGGCATTCATCCATCTTCTCCAACCTGTCTCTCATTCAAAGACTCCACTTACTTTGATTATCATAGTATGCAGAGGAAAAGAAGAAGGGGAGCAAGCAGCTCCCTGGCAGAATGTTCAGGATCTGCTATACCTCAATCTGTAAATGTGTAGCAACTTTGAATGAAAAGAACAATAGTTACTGTTTAATAGAGAGGCTCAGCACTGTACAGCTAGTGCTCGACTTACGACCACGATTGGTTCCGACAGACCGGTCGTAACACGATTTGGTCGTAAGTTGAGTAGGCTATATGCACGAGGAGATGGTAGTGCTGCCGGAAGCTGGTCCGCACTGTCGTATGCCCAGCTGGGCAACGTTTGCGCTGCCAGACACGGAGCAGTCGTGGCTAGCGATTGTGGTCGTAAAGTTGAATGGTCGTAAGTTGCATAGGTTGTAGGTCGATCAATACCTGTGTGAGGTTTGAGGTGCTCTCCTGACACATCTCTACCACTCCAAAATCTACCTAGTGTTACAAAACAAAAGAATCTCAATCTCAGAAAATTTTTTTCTGGAAAGGAAAAACAGAGTTTAAATGATTAAAAGATACATTATGGGAAGAAGAAAACTGGGGTGAGAGCAGTGTTCCAAAACTTGATTGTAGTGATGGCTATATAACTCCATCAATTCACTAAAACTCACTGAACTGTATATTTTCAGTAGGTGAATTTTATGGTATGTAAATTTACCTCTAAAAGGCTGTTAAAAGAAAAACCTTTTTTAAAAAGTATGGTTCATCATCCAGACTATGAATATTATGCAGCCTTTCAAAACAATGAGGCAGTTCTGGCCAGGCCCTGTGGCTCACACCTGTAATCCCAGCACTTTGGGAGGCCAAGGAGGGTGGATCACGAGGTCAAAAGTTCAAGACAAACCGAGCCAACATAGTGAAACCCCATCTCTACTAAAAATACAAAAAATTAGCCAGGTATAGGGGTGGGCATCTGTAATCCCAGCTACTTGGGAGGCTGAGGCAAGAGAATTGCTTGAACCTGGGAGGCAGAGGTTGCAGTGAGCCAAAATCACGCCACTGCATTCCAGCCTGGTGACAGAGCGAGACTCAGTCTCAAAAAAAAAAAAAAAGAGGAAGTTCTATATGTGTTAATATGAAACAGTCTTCAATACATATTAAGTGGAAAAGAAGGGAGCAGAACAGTATGCATAATAAGCTATAATTTCTGATAAAAGCATTTAAGCATTTGAAAGGTTACATATATTTACACAGATTATTTCTGAAAGGATATACAAGAAGCCTGAGATTGTCTCTGAGGAATAGGGTAGGAGCTAGGAGTGAGAGGGAGATTTACTTTTTACCTCTATACTTTTTTATGCCATTTGGGTTCTGTGTTGTAAGCTTTTTATGATCTATTTTTACTTATTTTATTTTTTATTTTTATTTTTTGACACAGGGTCTTACTCTGTCACCAGGCTGAAGTGCAGTGGCACAAACATGGGACACTGTAGCCTTAACCTCCTGGGCTCAAGTGATCCTCCCCCAGCCTCCCAAATAGCTGGGACAGGTGCATGCCACCATGCCACGCTAAGTTTAAAAATTTTTTTTTT